TTTTTTGTGAGTGTAAATTCTTCCTTTCTCTCAGTAAAAAGGCATTAACACTCCATTTAGAAAAAAAAATTCTGTTTTAAAATCTTCAGCCATTTTGCCATGGCCTGGAGATCTGAGGCAGAAGCAGGCACTGTTGTTAACTGTTTTAATGGCATTTTGGCCCTGGGAGGAGGAATTTTCCCTGATATGCATATAATAGCAATACAACAGCCTTTGACCCACCCCTACCCTCCATGTACCAGTGAGTCAGCTGGCTTGAGGTGTGCTGTCAGTAATGTGATGATGGCTCTCTTCCCCCTAGGATTGCCATGAGAAGATACGCATTCTTTCCCAGCAGGCAGCTGCTGTTGTGAAACAGGAAGGGGGGGATAATGACCTCATTGCTCGGATCCGTGCTGACCCCTACTTCAGCCCCATCCAGGGACAACTGGAGAGCCTCTTGGAGCCCACCTCCTTCACTGGACGTGCTTCCCAGCAGGTGAGGTTGCGGGAAGCAGCTTAAGATGTTATGGGGCATCATGCCATAAATTATCCAAACCATGTCCCTTTATGTGTCTGAGACAATCCGCTTTCTGTATCTCTGCCCCTTCCATTAAAGGATTGGATCTCTGCCCATTCTTCTAAAGGAAGGAAGGGTTACCATTTTCTTAGCTACATAAGGCATTCCTTCCCTTTTCTGTCCATCTCAATTGCCTTCTATCTCCCCCATAGTCTTCGATCCTTGATGTGCTGGGTGACTGGGTGCATCTGTGAGACTGAGACCCTGGGGCCACAAGCTGGAGCTGAATGAAGCACAGAGAAGAACCCATTTCTTTTTCTAACCTTCCCTTCCTCTTTCCCCTTGAGCAGGTGGCGAGGTTCCTGAAGGAGGAAGCTCGCCCAATGCTGACCCCGTATCAAAGCAAGATGGGTGTGAAAATGGAGCTGTCACTTTAGGCTGGGCTTCTGGATGTATAGGGGTGTGAGTGATATTAAAAGCCTTAATAAACCAAATCTATTTACTGTGTCTATACTTGTCAGTGTCTGTACCCTCGGTGTGACATAGCCATCCCAGGGCTCACACTCGCACTGCCCAGATGTGTGGTGGCACTGCTTGTTCTGGGTCTGCTGTATAGCCAGCCAGCCAGTTTCCCTCTCCTTTGTGTTGGGGTTGCTGGGAGGAGGTTGGCATAATGCCCACATTTGTTCTGGTTTTGCAATGACCAAACTAGGGTGACAATTCCATCACACACATTCTCCTCTCCTCTTATGATATGTTTCAAGCGGATTAAGTAGGCAGCCCTAGGGACTCGGTTGCATCTACAAATTGATCGTCAGTTGAAGGGCATGGGCAAAGGGAAACCAGCTTTGTTGTCTCATTTGTCTGCTGTTAAACTATTGTCCATAGTGGTGCCAAAGTGTTGGTAGGAGCTGTTTCCTTGAAAGTGGCTGTGGGAGGACTATGATCATGATTTAATCACACTTAACACCTCCTTTGGCCAGATGATTAGGAGTAGTGAAGAGAGAGAGCCTGGGCCTGATTACTTTTCATCATAGCTAGCAGTCCGTGACAATACCTGTGATACAACCCAGCCATAACATGTCTGTGCTGTATCAAAATCTCTGGCTGTAGTGCACAATAATCATACGTGAAAGATGTGGAGTGGGACCAACCAAGGTGATCCTTACTTCCAGGCCCAGTGGCTACTGGCTTTAAGGATGAGCAATGCTGCTCAGAATCGCTGGTTATAGATAGGAGCTGTTGTTGAAATGCAGCCAAGGGAACATACAAGGATACAAAAATCATTTGTCCACCAAGAATGTGTTCCCTTATGGTGAGGAAAGAGAGGGTAGGGACTCTCATAAAGCTCATAGATGCAAAAGAATTTCAGGGGTTTGCTAGTTTTTTCTGAGTCTGTATGTTTTCCTGTTTGTAACGTGTGTGTTTTTTATAGACTAAACTCTCCTTGATTTCAGAAAAGCTGTCTGACCCTCCACCAATTCCTGAAACATGATTCCGCAGCCCTCTCCTTTCTCTGCCACTTCATTCCTAGTCTTATCTTTCAGCACAGGGAAAGCCTCCCCTCTTTCTCTAATATATGCAGTCCCACAGAAGATGTGATCAGGAGAGCTCAGATTTTTTTTGTTTTTATTTGGGAATCTGATTGTGTCCTGGCAGTCTCATGTGAGAGGTGGCGGCATGGCTATTTTAAGAAACCACCTGTTCTCCTGGAGGTCTTTGTGATTTAAAGGACTTTCTAGACTTCCCAACATAAGATCTAGTGTTTAATTGGATACTACTATATTATGTATTCCGGGAAATTGGAAATCTCAGGCCGTGACCCCATCACTCCTGCAATTACTTTGCCGCTGGGCTGAGATGCAGAATCTCTCTCAAACAGTTGTGATTTTGTGGTGTTATATATTTTTCCTGCTCCTACTATATTAAACTTTAATTGGCCATCTGTTTAGAAGAAGTTTAATTTGAACATCAGTAACTTTCAAACTGTTTATTCAAATGGATGCCTAAGAGCACATGTAGATTTGGAGTTTTCAAATGTATTTCCTCCAGAGATGAGGGGGAGAGTGTTAGTGGAAAGAATCCCTCAAAGAGAAAGGGAAGAGAGAGCGCACAGATTTGTCCTTATCTGGAAACTAGATTTGATGCCAGTTGGGGAAACCCAGCTGTGGGATGTTTGAATGGGTCTCAGATTAAATCCTATTGTATTTTTTCTGGAAAACAAATACCACACAAGGAACAAAGCCACCCTCCTTGGAAGCTTTGTGTGATACACACACATCTTTTTCTGGGTCTCATCTGGGGCTTCTACTTGAATCTGTTACAGAGTTTAGAAGAACCTGGTTCAAGATTTTTCTCCATTACCCAACTAAATTAACAGAGTCCTCTGCATTATGTGGCTCTGCTATACCTGTCAGGGAATTATACCCCTTGGCCATTATAGCAGTAGGTCCAATACAGTGCTGCAGAGGCAGCTCTTCCAACAGCTCATAAAATTAATTATATTTTGGAGGGATTTATCCTGTTACATCTCGATAATCTATATTCAGCAGATATCCCAAACTAAGCAGGGATGGGTCTGATCACTATATGTAACAAGAATAATCACAGAAATGAAAGGTAGAAAAGACTTATTAGCTCAGCTAATCTGTTACAATTACAAATACTGGATTATTCATTCTTCCCTGACTATTGGTTTGTCCAATCTAACTTTAAATGTCCTGAGCAATGAGTCTTCTAATACTTTGTTTGAGAGACTATTCAGCCTATATTTTTATTTTCTTAATTTCATCCTATTGCTATTAGGATTAAACTAAACAAAATAACTGATATTACTGTAATAATGTGTCTAAATGCACATTACTACAATAAGGAAAATCTGTTGGAGCTTTGCTCTTTCAAACAAAAAATTGAAATGATAGAAATGCAAAACTTAACACACCCTTAATTCTGCCTTTCTATCCTTGCCAATTTACCTTTCAAAATTAAGCCACTTTATGACTATGCATCATGGGCTTGGCAGGGGAGAGAGGGGCATGAGGCTTATAGAGTGAATACCAGATTGTCCAATACAGTACTAGAAATGTACCACCTATCCATTGTGTAGTTGACTTTGACATAACTACAGGCTGTCCTCCAATTCACCTCTGCTTGCCTGAACCCACCATCTCCCCTCTTACCCTTTATATACACATGCAAGACTAGTCGACACACGGCCAGCTTTCCAGTATAGTTCTTTTATGTCAGATATTGGAAACTGTTATCTTTTAGTGTTTTTCAATAGTCAGACTCCTTGGAGCTGCATACCTTGAAAATACTGTATACTGTTGTTTCACCTAGGTAGACCATGTTTAAATGATGATGGACCTAAACATAAGATGGCCACAGTTACAGTCATCTGAAGTCTCTGTGTGAATGGACAAAATATACCCAGTTCCATAGTCCAAGCAATAGGGGGTGAAAGTCAATATATTTGAGGTTTAAGATAACTCCCTATGATACTTAACAAAATCATATATTTTCGGATGAAGCATAAAGCCAGGGGCCTGACATCTTGTAGAGAGACAATGCTGTTCATGTGGGACTGGGTACCAGGAAATCGTATGTTTTAATCCTGGTTCTGCCACTTTCTGTGTGACCCAGTCCAGGTCTTGTCCACTATGTTCCTCAGTTTACCCACCTGTAAAAACTGGCTTAATATGTACCTTACAGGTGGTATGAGACTTAATTAGTATTTCTGCAGTGCTTGGAAGATTAAAGTGCTAAGTTGTGTTATGGGGGCCATTAAAGGAGTCATGATACTTTTCACAATAGCTAAGGGTAGGAATGGAGGGGACATATTAGCCTCAATTTCCAATGTGGGTAAATTACCTAGTGAAGGCAGGGGCCTGGACTTGATGACCTTTCAAGGTCCCTTCCAGTTCTAGGAGATGGGATATCTCCATTAATTTATTTTACTTTTATTTATTTACAACTGGGGCTAGTGTTCAGTTTCACATTGTTTGGTACTGTTGTGTAGAGGAGGTGAAGGCTGCATATTAGTAGTGGGGTAATTAGTAGTGTGTGTCAAACACAGATTAAAAGGATTTTCAGATGGAAGGTGCTGTATAAATGTAAAATGTTTGTTCTTAGTGCATACTGTTCACTATTCTCTCTCCATATGATCTTCATACCTGACTCCATTCACTGGCTGGCTGGAGTGTGACTACAGTAGAGAGCGATTTACCGCCCATCACCATGCTCTGGAGCACTGACCCAAAGGGGGCTCCCCCTGCCCGCCTCAGGGAACTCAGCAGCAGAGCACGCTGCAGGGACAAGCTCTGCAATCTCGCGCGTGCCGGCGACGGGGGAAGCGCTGGGGCCGTGACGAGCGGCCTGCGCGAGGCAGGCTTAGGGCGCCATGGTGCGCGCCGGGAGGAGAGCTCCGCCGCGCCGCCATCAAAGACTACATTCCCCACAATGCCCCATGGCGCCGCCCGGATGCCGCGCATGCGCAGCGGCGGGGAGACTCGGTGCTGCTGTCGGCGATTGAAGCGGTCGGTCTCTGGCGGCTGCCGCAGGGAGGGGGCTGAGGCGGCTGCGGACCGGGGGCGCCCTCCTCCCGGCCGGGGGAGCGGCACGCGGAGCAGGTGAGCCGGAGGGGGGGAGGCAGATGGACAGACAGACCAATGGAGCCAGACGTGCCTGAGGCGAGGTCCGAGGGGCGGGCGGACGGACGGACAGGAGAGCGGGACGAACGCGCGGAGCGGGGCGGGGGGGCAGCCGGCGAGGGACCGGCCGCGGAGCAGGGCGGGCTGGACCCCGAGAACAGCCCAGCCAGGGGCGGGGGCAGCCGGGGAAGGGCAGCGCCCTGGGCTCTGTGGCGGGGACGGCGCCTGAGGGACTGAGAGCAGCGCGGCTGGCCGGGCAGCACGGGCCCGGCGGGGATGCCTGGCTGAGAGCGCACAGAAAGCGGTTCTCTCTGGCGTGGGCCGGGGGAAGAGTGGCCAGATGGGCCACGCAGCCTCGATAAGGAGCCCTCTGGGAATGGGGCACGTAGTCTCTCTCTCTAGCCACGCTGCTGCTCCGCAGCTTGTCCCCTAATGCCTGTAACCCTGAGGGCTGGGCAGTGGGCAGGAATACCCTCTTATCTGGGAGCCCTCCACAGAGGTGGCTTATTCACAGAGACCTGTGTGTCTGTTGGCTCAGATGGGCACCCTTCATATACAGGGGTGTTTTCCTTTTCCTACACACCCACATTCCACTTCGGTATGCTTCCTCCAGATTTCAGCTGTGGTTTGCAGTTAAGAGAATTGGACCGGGAAGGTACGAATCCTACCAAATGGGTCTGTTTGAATACAGCCACCTTGCCAGGAGTGGAAATGTTAACAAAATGTTCCCCTCCTATGTTTCTGGATGACCAAAACCATACTTATAATTTCTAGCAGCAAGGGGAGGGCTGGACACCCTGGTCTGCTGGTAGGGTAGGCTTCTGTCCCACCTCTGTATTCATATCCCTTCCCGCGCCACTGAGGTGACTTCAGGGTGGTCCCTTCTCTACAGCCCCTAGGAAGGTTCCATTTTACCTGATCTGGTGACTCAGGGGCTGCACTGCAACTTTCTGACTCATTTTATACAATGATTCATGACTGGATTTAATTAGGTTTGATGGGGCATCTTCTCCTGCCTTCTCTCTGTCCATCTTTTCTTTTGGTCCTTTCTTGCTCCCTCTCTGTGCCCTTGTCCCTCTTCTATTTGGTTTTATTCAGACTTGCCTAGAGGCTGCTCATGAATTACAGGTATACTATTGTTTTCCCTTGGTTGTCGCTAATCCCCATTGGTCAATTTCTTGGCCTTTTTGCCACTAATCAGAGCTTGCCTGCCTTATATTTCCCCTTGTTCTCAGTTTCTGTTCAGATATGCTGAGAGGAGAGACTGACTCCTGTTCTGTCTGGTGTAAAGCTGGGGGGTGAGGAAAGAGGAAGACCAGCAACATGGCAATAGCCTCCAAGTTTTGGGCATGAATGGGTGTAATGCAAACCCTCTGAAGTGGCATGTCTGCTCATTCTAAATGGAAACACAGCAGCTGATGTTGGTAATGCAGCAATCTGGCTATTTAGAGAGTAGGGTTTGCCAACAATACCCCTAGGAAAGGTGAAAATAGACTTGACTTCTGAGACTTACAAACAAAGGAGATACCATGAGTATAACTGGTCTGGTTCATCACTTCCTACGACAGCATTATTGGGTCAGTCAGTCCCAAGTCTTCCCCTTGGCAGTGCCTAGTTCCTGATGCTTGAAAAATGAGTGGAGAAAACAATGAGAATGTAGCAGGCCAAACGTACAAAGTTGTAGTAAGGAAAAAGATCCTTTCTCATTCCCACAGGCATGAAATATGATCACTCTTACATCATACCATGATAGCTGTTAATAGTCCTAATATAGTCCAGCTTCTTTGAGAACATGCATATAAAATTCTGGGCCTAAGTAGTTTAACATGTGGCATGTGTTATAAAGGAGCATTTCTAGCAGATCCTGGACAGTGGTCTGGGTGGGAGTAACCTTATATGTTATGTTTTTAGATTTTAGAAAAGCAGAGTTCTGAAAGGAGTCATCTGACTGTGGCCCTGAATACATCTCTTAAATTGCAGCTCCACTCAGCAGAGTGATGTTCAGCAGATCTGCTGCCTGGGTTTATTCAGAGTCACATCTGCTGAATCTAGTGCTGCCTTTTGCTCTTGTTAGCCCCACAGAGCCAACAAAGCTACGAGAGAGTGAACTGGATGGAATCTGTTCTTCCTTGTGCGTTGTCAACAGACTTACAGGTCCAGTCAGTTAAATCTGTGCAAATCCATCAGAGGCCTTGGAAGGTACAAGTGTCACTAAGGCCGTAATTTGACTTGCAGGGCTTTTTATTACTGGTGATGTTGCGTGAGCAAAATAAAACACAGCTTGACCCTGGTGTCTCAGGGTGAGTTTGCAAGGCTGGCAGAAGAAAAAATCTTGTAGTCTGCAAATCCCTGGCCTGAGGTTTCCTTTCACAGAGCTGTCATTGTGATGAATGGGTGGGCTTTTCAATCTCCAGGTTTAGGGTGTGATAAATGATTTAGGCAGATGCTAGAGCCTCTCATGATTCTACCTGGCCAGCATGTCTCTCCTGCACAGAGTCATTTGTCTGCTTTGGAGCCCGGTAGATAAAATATCACTCCTTTTTTTGTATTTTAAAATGAATGTTAAAGTGCAGTTCTGCTCTGAAAAACGACTCTATGTTGGCATCCTGGACTTCCATGTTCATTGTATCTCAATGGCTCCATAATCAGATGTGCACAGTGTATAATAATTTTTTTTTCTGTGCCAGCCCTACCATGTCAAACTGTGATCTGAAAGTCAAGCTAGGTTCTTCCTGGCTTATTCATTATCACCAGGCAACAAGATTCTGTCCTCTCGTGCGTTATCTTCAAAGTGAATCAGAAGTTTGAATGTGGCCTTGCAATTAGAAATGTAATTAATCATTCTGTTGCTTTTGCATGAGCCAGGATGGGCTGAGTGATGAGCCTGCAGGGCTCATAAAACCTTTATTTTTCTTGCTGTTATAATGAGACAACTGCTGCACATAGGGAGCAGATTTGTTGCATAAGAAGATGGCATTTTAAATTAATTACATTTTTGACCATAATTACACTTTCAAAGAGATGCATAAAAGTCTCTGGCAAACTTCTGTAGTAGACTCATGCTGGGAAGAGACTGGGAGTTCCAGTTTGCCTTTCTTTGGTTGTTAATTCTAGATCTTGATTCATTCTACCAGCTATAGAGCTCTGGATTTGTGTGATAGGAGGCAAAGGAGAGGTCTTGTCTTCTCTTTACTTTCCTCCTGCGGCAAACATACAATCAGTCTCCTTAATTCACAATGATTTCAGTGATTGGGGACCATTTAAGTACTGAGTGTTTTCCCTACATTCTAGATCCTGGCAAGCCACCATCCTGCTGTGCCCACTCACCCACATAGCTCTGCCATGAAACCCCAATTTTGACCTGGCACACCTCCTGCTATTCCAGTCCAAGGATCCCTTTGGAGCAGTGACTACCCGATCATCAGCAGACTTTTGTGAGGTCTGATGTGATGCGTAGGGGGAACGAGGATGAAGCCATTTAAACTCCTTTAACTGTTGCTCTAAATCACTTGGTCACTAGAGATAAAGTCAGAGGGTTAATCCACTGTCATTGCATCATTCCTGTCCTTATACTGTATTTACAGCAACCCAAAACACTGCTAGGCTAGTAGGTTATAAACCTTGCAGAGATATTTCCTGGAATGAATCAGGTCTACAAATATAATAGAAACTGTTTAATCTGGATGTGATAAGGGACGAGATCCATGGAATTGTGCATAGGTGTAAAAACTTAACTGGGTGTCATGCTGCGAGGGTAGGGCAGCACCTTTCATTGTCTGTTACAGGCCCTCCCTGGACCTTGTGTTTCCTTTCTTCCAGTTGCTTGTTCCGCCTTCTTCAATTGCTAGCTTAATTATGGTTGGGAGGAAAACTCCGGTTCCACAGGCACTCACAGCAAATATTGACTTGAGGAGCAAATGGCACTTACAGATCCGGGATATGCTACTACCTGACCTGAGTGGGAAGGGGAGATGCAAGGGTGAGGATGGGAGTTGCTGTAGCGGATTTGATTTGGTGAACCCTGATTCAAATTCTAAAGCAAAAACTTTTTGTGAGGGCTGGAGGAGGTGGACTAGAACAAATACAGATTTTTCATCTCTCATTTCTGTGGCGGGGAGGTTCAGTCTGGATGTTTGAAGTTGACACGCTCAACATGCAGTTTTAAAATACATACTGAGAGAGCTTTCCGGTTCCACATCTGTCTCCAAGTCCCCGGGCCAATGTTTATGTCTTTACAGTCACACTTTCCTCTTTTCTAAAATGTTTCTTTCTGTCCTGTTGCTGTATGAAAGGCTCACAAAGAACAGGGGAAACAGTGGAACTAACTATATGCAAAGTGCTGTCAAATGCACAAATTAAGCCGGGGGGAGGGGCATTTTTCCCTTGCTAACTTCTTTCAGTGATAGTAGATATTACTCTTAACACAAGCAGGTAAACAATAATTCCAGTGTTCTCAGCTGATTGTCGCTTTAACGATTTCCATTGATTGCTCATTTTATTATGCTCTAATAAATTTGTTAGTCTCTAAGGTGCCACAAGTACTCCTGTTCTTTTTGTGGATACAGACTAACACGGCTGCTACTCTGAAACCTCTTTTTATATTGTTACTGAAAACCTAGGTTTATTGGCTTTTGTCTTGCTGAAGACTTGTTGGGAAACTTGCTAGATGGGATGCTGGTTTGTTACTCCTTTCTAAATGGATTCTTATTGTTATATATATAAAAAAATCAATTGAGGAAGGGCACTCCTGAGTGGAAGTTTCCCTTCTTGTGCTAAAGACCCTGGGCAGCCAGTGCTGGAAAGGAGCTCATATCTGACTCTAGACCACCAGTCTGCTTCACATCCAACACTGAGCTGCTGTCATGTGAGAGTTAACTGGAGATCATATGGCAAAGGGGGTGACCAGGTAAAACAAACACACAATAGGAGACTGTTATCTGGGTGTTTGCATAAAACCAGATAATTGAAAGCTGTTTCCTATTGCAGCTGAGAGAGAGAGAGCAGGAATATTAACAGCTGGCTCAGCAACCTGAAGCGGAAGTTCAAGTGAATTTGCAGCTGTCTTTTCCACATCTCCATTTTTAAAGGAAAACTGCACTATTTAAAAAAAAATTAACTGTATACAGTAAAAGCTGTGTTATCCGGCACTTTACCAACCAGAAAGCTCTAGAAACGGGCATTTCTGATCTCTCCCAATACAAATCTTCAATCTAGTAACCAGGACCAATGCCGAAGCTAACCGGAATCGATGCCGAAGTTATTTGGGACCCGAGTATTTCCGAGAGCAGTCGGACTACGCTTGAGTTAGCCAAGAAGAGCGGAATGCTGTTCTTTCTGTTTGTATCCGCCATTGTGATTGGTCGGTTTATTATTCTGTGTATTGTCCTGTGTTTATCGTAAAATATCAACGCCACCCTACCGTCATGGCATCCAAAATACCAGCAAAAAGCAAAGGAAAGAAACGTAAGAGAGTTGTGTTGACATTAAAACAGAAAATAGATATTTGTACACGTCTTGAAAAGGGCGAGAATAGGAATGTTTTGATGCAAGAGTACAATGTTGGCTCGTCCACAATATACGACATCAAGGCTCAGAAAGGACAATTGCTCAAATTTTTTGCTAGTTGTGAGTCAAATAAAGCTGTTGAACAACGCCATACTCTGCATATGCCTAAATTAGAGCAACTAGACAGTGTTTTATATGAATGGTTTTCATTGAAACGATCGGAGGGTGCCTCTATATCTGGTCCAATGCTCATTGAAAAGGCAAAAGATTTTTATAAGCAAATGCAATTGACTGAGCCATGTGCATTTTCTGATGGATGGCTTTCATGTTTTAAACTTCGTCACGGCATTAGAAAGCTAGATGTACCAAGCGAACAAAAATCGGCTGACCGTGAAGCTGCAGAAAAATATTGTGAATTTTTTAGAAATTTAATTGCTGAACATGATCTATCCCCTGAACAAATTTATAATGCTGATGAAACTTGCCTATTTTGGCGATGCTTGCCAAATTCTACCCTAGCAGGTGCAAGTGAATCTAAAGCTGCTGGTTTTAAGCAGAATAAAGACAGACTAACTGTTCTTACGTGTGCTAATGCTGCAGGCTCGCATAAAATAAAACTTTTGGTGATTGGGAAATATAATCATCCTAGAGCTTTCAAAGGTGTTGCACATTTACCTATTGTTTACAAAGCGCAAGGTAATTCATGGATGAACAAAGAAATTTTTTATGATTGGTTTCATCATGTTTTTGTACCTGCAGTGAAAGAACATTTTAGAAAAATAAGCTTACCTGAAGATAGCAAAGCTATTCTATTGCTAGACAATTGTAGAGCTCACCCTCATGAAACAGAATTAGTGTCTGGTAATATTTTTACCATCTTCCTGCCTGCTAGTGTTACTTCATTGATTCAACCTATGGACCAGGGCATCATCCAGAATATGAAATGTTATTACAGAAGAGATTTCCTGAGAGAGTTGATCAATCATGAAGGCACTATACAGGATTTTCAATCTCGTTATAATATAAAAGATGCAATTTTTAATGTTGCTTGTGCCTGGAATTCTGTTAAAAGTGAAACATTAAGGAGAGCTTGGATAAAATTGTGGCCTAGTGTTATGTTTGCAGAAGTGTCTTCTGATGAAGATGAATTTGAAGGCTTTAAAGTAAGAGTTAGAAAAAATACATTCGCACAAATTCTTGAAATGGTGAAGGATACTCCTTCTTCACACCCCATCAACAAACTTCATGAAAGTGAGCTAGAAGAGTGGGTTGAAGCTGACAAGGGGGTTGAAGTGACACATGCTGTTGTTGATACAGAAATAATAGAGACTGTTTTGAATACTGAAAAGTCAAAGGACACTGATAAAGACAGTGAAGAAGATGATTTTAGTGAAGAGGACAAAATAACTTGGGGAGAGGCTGCTTCAGCTTTTGATACAATAATTAAATTTGCAGAAAGGCAGCCATGTTATACTGCCCAGGAGGTTATGCAATTGCACATTCTGCACTCTACTTTTATGCAAAAGAGGCAGAAGACAAGTAAGCAAGCTGATATAAGGGATTTAGTCAAAAAAGCAGCTTCCAGGGTGTGTCATGGGGCCAGTGCAGATTCAGCCCAATCTCCTACACCTTCTACAGCTACAATGATAATTGATGTTGATAATGATGACCCTGACGGCACTGCAAGATCCTGAAGTGCCTTCTGAATCGTCAAAGAAAGATTAAAGTGTGTTCACTATAGTTTTAGTTATTTTTAGTGATCTGGGTGTACGCCATACGCTGCCCATAGTGATATGTAGTGTCATAAAATAACCTACTGTATAGAAAACTTTACCTGTATACACCTAAGTGCTTCAAGAAACCAGCCACTCTGCAGTGCAGTACTACTACTGGATTGGGGAGTATCTGTATACTATGTTATACGTATATTTATATGTATATTAATTTTATTGTATTCTAATTGTTTGAACCTTGGTATTCCATTGGTAAGTATAATTCTTAGGGCATGTCTGTACTACCCACTGGATTGACGGGCAGCGATCGATCCAGCAGGGGTTGATTTATCACATCTAGTCTAGACGCAATAAATCGACCCCCGAGCGCTCTCCCATTGACTCCTGTACTCCACCGCCGCGAGAGGCGCAGGCAGAGTCGCCGGGGAAGCGGCAGCAGTCAACTCACCGAAATGAAGACACCGCAGTGAATAGACCTAAGTACGTCGACTTCAGCTACATTATTCACGTAGCTAAAGTTGCGTAACTTAGATCGATTCCTACCCCCCGAGAGTAGACCAGGCCTTAGTTAACCGGAATTTTTGACTAACTGGCACCCCCATTCCCCTAACATGCCAGATAACAAAGCTCTTACTGTATATCCTTGTATAGTGAATAGTTACACACTTGACAAAGGTACTGTAGCTGGAACACTACAGTCAGCTGTAGTTGAGGATGTTTGTTTTCAGTTACAACTTTCTGTTTGTCACACATATAACTGTCCATACTTTCACTTGGCAAGTCGGAATTTTCTCTACACAGAGATGACTTTTGTGTGTGTGTGGAAGTTTGAACAGAAGGGGTTCAACTGTTTTCAAGTGGCTGGGGGGTGACAGTCCGGGTCTGGACACCCCAAGAGGAGAGTAGGGGGTTAAATCTCCTCCCAAAATAATCAGTTGAATAAACAGATTGTATACAATGTCATTGTGCTATAAAATATGTTGAGTAAGGTCTTTTGTGAAAGCTTGTAATGTTCTGAACATGAACGTCATTATGATAAATATACACACACAGACTGTGGCTATGAATGTATGCATTTGTGTATATATAAAACTTTTCATAATTTGTGTTGCAACATTCAGCTCCATCTCGCAGTGGGGCAGTCAGGCAGGGAAGGGGCTGCCTCCCCACCAGACGAGACTAGCTCCAAGCACCTAGAATTGTACAACCCAGGAAAAGACAAATGATGGACCATTAAAGTTAATGGGAAAACATTGAAACAACCTGAAACTGAAAAGAAAACACCAGTCTTGGAAAACTACGGACTAGTCTACACAGCCAACGTTAAAGCGTTGCCGCGGCAGTGCTTTAATGTGGCTGTGTAGTCGCACTTTACAGCGCTGAAACTTGCATCGCTCAGGGGGGTGTTCTTTCACATCCCTGAGCGATGAAAGTTTCAGTGCTGTAAGTGGCAGTGTAGAAAAGGCCTAGGAAACGAGGGAGTTTTTCCCACTTCGAATATCAATAGTGACTAAAGAAGAAAAGAAACCTGAAAACTTCTTAAAAAGTGAAGGGTTTGAAGTGAGGGCCAGTCACTTGGCAGGTATTGTCCATGAAATCTGGATCTTCTGAGACTGGGTACTCTGGGAAACAGTGGAGGCAATAGGTAACTTGTATTAGAAAAGGTATTTTTATCTAATTCAAAAGTATAAAGCCTGAAGTTGCACCTTTGTTTGTTTTCAGTGTAATTTGTGTATGTTTGCTCTCCCGCACTACTTCCATTTCTTGAATATGATATTTCTATTAAATACACCTTTTGTTAATTTTTTGCCTCCAGCGTGTCTCTGGTGTGCAAACTGTGTGGAGCGCATATGCCAAAGCAAGCTGCCAGCTGGGGATTAGTTTCACACCTTCGGGGGAGATGAACCAGAGGGGAAAAGTCCCAAGTGTCTGGTAGTTAAGAACTCAGGGTGGCTGGATTTGGGGAGACACAGGACTGGAAGTGCTGTTGGCGTCACCCTGCAAGGTGTAACTAGGCTGGTGGAAACCAGGGTGAGAATTTGAGTACATCTACGCTGCAAAATATTCCCGCATCAGTGAGTCTCAGAGCCCAGGTCAACTGATTTGTGCTCTCGCTGTGGGACTCTCAATAGCAGTGCAGGTGTTCCCTCTGGGCTGGAGCCCCAGCTCTGAGAACCAGCCCTCTCACCAGATTTCAGAGCCCAGGCTCCAACCCAAGCAGGATTGTGAGCCCTGCAGTGTGAGCCCTGCAAGTCAGTTGACCCGGGCACTGAGACTTGCTGCTATAAGTGTGGGGATATTGGGTTTTTTTTCAATGTAGATGTACCTTTTGTGCTTGTGGGCAGGCTACTGGTGTCAGGGCTCTGAACGAAAACTGGACAGCATAAAGGCACTCAAGGTTACAGGGCAGGCTGTGACAGAACACTACTGTGGATGTTCCCGAAAACATCACAGGGGACTTCCATAGTATTTAACTATATCTGCTGATATTCTTGCCGTACGTTGTGGTTTTTTTGTGTTGGTCTTCTGGTGATAGTAGCTGTAGCACCAGAATGTCTAGACACTGGAAGTTGACTTTTTGCATGGAAATTGTTCTGAGATGGGACAGAGTGTGTTAGGTAAAAACTGGGTTTGATTTGAGAGAGTTCTGAGGGTTTGAAAGCTTGCACTTCCACGGATATAATTTCTTAGCGCTCCTTGCCGTGTTGTGGCTGTGGGAAGAGTGCATTGTGCGAATTGCATGGCTAACTTAGCTGCAATATTGAATGTGTGCATTTTGAACAAGCGCTGCAAGAGCTCTTGCTTTGTTCACTACCCGTTGTGTATAGAAATTATTTTATGGACCTGGTATACAGAGCAGTGGTGTCACTACAAGAGGAAACATGTATTTGGGGTAATAGGAAAAAATTGTATGGGACAGATTTTCAGACATGTTAATCACCTACAGTTCCCACTGGCTGCAGTTAGAATTGTGGGTGTTCAGCACTACTGACAGTCAAGCCTACATGAGAAATAGCATGCAGTCATGTAAGGACTGTTATAACTCAGACTCTTAGGGGCAGAGTTAAAGTTATACAGACAATACCCTAACTTTGGGATGCTGACCTTGCAGCCATAACATTTTTTCTCTCTCTCTCTCTCTTCTTCTTCTTTCTTTTTTTTTTTTAAAGGTAATTCATCACAGCACTTTTCCTGTAACTGGAATTTTCCAGTAAGATCCTTTGTATTTTCAGTATTCTATTACTTCTCTCTATAATGCAGGGGGCTCCACGGTGCTCAAATGGTATAATCCTCGTGCTCTTGGAAATGGGGACCCTCATCCTATGTTATCTTCACCGGCTTCTTAACAGTCTGTCTCACAGTTCATCCATTGTCACTCTAACTGGTTCATCCTGTCCCCTTCCTTGGCTTTCTGTCCATCTCTGAAATCCATTTAAATTGCACCTCCTGGTTTTGTATCAGCTGGAAGTTCCTTGGGCGTGGGGAGTACAGGCTGTCTCCTGGAAGAGGTGAGGGCTGCTTTGGCCCAACATCGGTCAGTCAAGGGAGTGCAGTTGTGGTATGGGGCCACAGGGAATGTGTAGAGCACATTGACCTTGACCTTTCTCCTCCAGCATGTACCCACTCCCCACTGAGCCCTTGATGTGCCCCAGAATCCTTTGCCCCAGTTCCCTGTGACATTTTACTGGAGCTGGGGCAGGGAGTGAACTGAATTCATGTTTTAATCTCTAAAGCAGCTTCGTGCTATGAATGTTTTTTGGTAATATTACTACTGCTAGGATTCATCAAGATCAGGCAAATAGTTTAAGGGTGCCCCTAGCAGCTACTTGAGATGGATCAGATGAGCAGCTGTACTTAGGGAGTGGAGTTGTCCTCCCCAGACAATGCTGGACGCCCCCCTTGAGATCTGCTGGTGTGGAGAAATCTTTGCTCCACCAAGGTGGGGAGTCAGAGGGCTATTGTGGTATGGCTTTGGCACTTTCATGGTGAGACGCTTGGATCCTTGGACGGGTTCCAATTCACTGTCTCCCAGTGCATCAGCTGATGGCACCTTCCTGCTTTCCTGGCATGATTCATCCACCTCCACTCTGGCCTCTCACGCCCCTGGCAATGACAGGCCAGCAGCAGGGCTCTCTCTCTCTCAGGCAGGTCCCAGATGACTGCTTTCAGGAAGGTTTCCATAGCAACTGAAGTCAGGAAAAACCTGCCCACCAAGTTCAGTGCCTTACTATCCGGCCCATGTTTAGGGAGGGGTGCAGGCAGGAGGAGCGGGTGTGGTGATCAAGCAATTGGCGGGGAAAGGTAGGGTGACCAGATGTCCCGATTTTAAAGGGACAGTCCCGATTTTTGGGTCTTTTTCTTATATAGGCTCCTATTACCCCCTCCCCCACCGCCTGTCCCGATTTTTCACACTTGCTGTCTGGTCACCCTAGGGAGAGGGGACACTGTTAGACAGGACTGTTGTGACCGAGTGGGCAAGGAAAGGTGCTGTGTTCCTGTGTGGCTGCACTGTGATGAGGAAGGAACCCACAGCAGCAGGCCTCTTCCTCCTCCCTTCATTTCCTAGCAGGCTGGATAATTAACTTGGCTTCAGTTCACGTTCTCCTCCACAGCTGTGCCCAACCCACTGGGCTCGCCCCTCGTTAACATGCAGCTGACGGGCTGTGTGCCCTGGGGCTGTGCCACAGGTTGGGCTGTGCAGAGTCTGGGACTGAGAACAGCAGCATTGTAAAATGCTCCCCACTCAGGTGCTTGAGGCACTGGTCAGTGATTCAGAGTGAATGTAACGTAAACCACAGTGTAATACCAGGGAGTCTAAAGAAACCTAAAGGGACTCAGAAAAACAAGTAGGGCGAGGAGCCAAATTCCACCATGACCTAACCCCCCTGCAACTCTAATTGGCTTCAGTGAAGCTGCCTGTGCAAAGGGTAAGGTGACCATATGTCCCGTTTTGGCTGGGATAAGTCCCCCTTTTTTTTTTAAGCTCTGTCCTGGCCATCCCGATTCCCCCCCCCCCCCAAGTTGGCATTTGTCCCGTTTGCTCTTGCTGACTTGATCAGTTGCCAAAACTAAACAGGACAAGTGCCCACTTTTGAAAAAAAAAAGTGGGATGCAGTGCAGAGGAGGTGACTGCAGAGATGCCAGTCCCTGCAGGGAGAGGGGGCAGCGTTCCAGCATGTGGGCCCCCGCAGGGTTCCAGCGACCAGGCAACAGCCTTGCGTGGGGGAGGGGGAGAAGTGCAGGGTTCCAGCGATGGGCAACAGCATAGGGCAGGGGCCCCTCGGGTGAGCAGCTGGGGGTGCCCGTTTTCTCTTTGGGAAATATGATCACCTTAGCAAAGGGTAGGATGTGGGCCAAGCGCTCTGCACCCGGGGCCCGATCACCTAAGACACGGTGGTAGCAACCTTTAAAAGGCAGTGTCAAAATGCGGCATGAGAGGGGGAGAAGTAGCCCCTATGGAAAGCTCCTAACCAAACCTATCTGCCAGGTTTGGATGCTGCTAAAGCTCACGAGTAAAATGAGTTTGGAGGTTCTAAGCTCAGTTTTTGGTGGTGGCTTATTCACATTGCATAGTAACTGCATAGTTTTCCTTTTAGCTGCTCAGGAAAGACCCAGCACTGAAAGGGGAAGAGGGATGCAAGGCAGAATTCAGGGGGTTTAACAACTACATGTGGGAAGCAGTTGAGGACAGCATGGACAAGTGCTGTGCATAAGTTCCAAACAAGTTCTGCTCCTGAAAGAGAAGTTGATAGGTTTTTCTCACTACAGGTGGTGGAAATAACCAATATAGGTAGGTTCAGTAGATGAAGTTCTGCTGCTAAATTTGATTCTGAGCTACTCACTGGTCATGGCATCTGATCCCATTTAGACAGCTGTTCAGATAAGGAAGGAAGGAGCATTGCCATATATGTTCTCAAACAGCTGCTTTCCACTCTGTATCAATGGCCTACATGCTGCCCAGCTAGGGATCCTGAACCGTTATAGTTCCAGTGATGTTTGTCACTTGCCATTGGAGTTCAGCAAGTGCTGAAGACATGAGTCTTAATGGACCAAGTCTGTGTTTGGGAGTCTGGTATAACCTGGGATGCTTTTAAACAATTTAAAGTCCCAAATCTAGATTTTAGTGGGCTTTTATACAAAAAAGTTTTATAAAACCTGACAACTAATGGTATGATTTCTTTTTAAATTCAATGTAACAAGTCTATTTCTGGAGTGAAATCTTTCCTGCAGTCCTGGCAAACCCTCTACAAACCTGCACATGCTAGAGAGCTGAGAAATGAAGCCGAATAGTCCGGCTTTACTGTCTGAGCTGATAGAAGAGACCATCTTCCAGCCAATCAGGATTGTTCCCTACAGTGTGTTCTCCTGTGCAGGGCCCAGTTCATCTTAGGCCATGTCTACACTATAAAGTTTTGCTGACCCAAGTTACATTGGCATACAGCCGCTGCAGTCAGTATATCACTTGTGCACATGCATACTTGGCTGCATGCATCAGTGCTGCTTGTATGCACCAGGAGAGGTTGTGTCCAAGCACAGTGCAGTGCACCAGAGATAGGTATCCCAGTATGCATCCTGCTACCATTCAGCACGCTGTCTTTTGGGAAGTTTTGGTAACTCATGGTGGGGCAGAAATAAGGGGTGACTGAGAGCAAGGAGTCAATTTCCCATAATGTGATGTTCTCCATCCCATAATAGCTCTATCCTGTAATTTCCGCAGCTATTTTAAATTTCCCATGAATCCGCGCAGGACTTGTCACTGTCCACCATCTCTGACAGAAACATGGAGCCGGCACAGCTCTGCACTATTGTCATGAGCATTGCAAGCACAAGACACACAATCCTCTGGTATTTGCAGAGCCAGAAGAACAACTGTGGGAAACATTATGATTTCCTCATGGTCAGTTTGCTGTGGGACGTAGCGAGAACCAGTTTGGTGGCATTCATGGAGCAGCTGCCATGACTGGTGGGATCACTTTGTAATGCAGGTTTGGGATGATGAGCAGTGCCTGCAGAACTTTTGGATGCACAAGGCCACATTTCTGGATCTATATGCCGAGCCACTGCAGCCATCCAACACAGGAATATCAAACTGAGAGCTGTACTGACAGTGGAGAAGCAAGTGGCGGTCATGCTGTGGAAACTTGCAATGCTAGATTACTACGAGTCAGTGGGAAGTAATTTTGGCGTGGGAAAATCCACTGGGCTTGTTACTCTGGCTCTTCAGAGGCATCCACCGTGGTGCGACGGGTGGTGGTGGGGTCTCTGCTAAGTCTGGCATGCAGCTCTTTATAAAAGCAGCAGGTCGGGGGCTTAGCACCAGATTGACTGTTGACTTCCCTGGCTTTCTGGTCTGCCTGCTGGTCCCTGTCGAACCCCTTCTCCTGCATCCCTCGAGCAATCTGCTTGTAGATGTCAGTGTTTCTTCGTCTGGATCGGAGCTGTGTCTGCACAGCCTCTTCTCCCCACTGGCTCAGGAATTCCAGTATTCCCTGTCTACTCAGGCAGGAGCGCATCTGGAGCGTGTGGCTGGCATGGGCAGTTGCACTCAACAGTGGAGAACTGCTGGGTGTGCTCATCGAGCTGGGCAATCAGGAAAAGGCTTTTCAAAAATGCACAGGGCTTTAAGTGGGGGCGGGGACCTTCCCGTCAATGTAACCTCTGGGCAGTGGAGTTAACAGTTGTGACCAGAGCGGTCAGCAATGGGCATTGTGGACAGCTGCGGGAGGACTGTTAGGGTCGACATAGGTAATGTGGTAGCTACCCTTGTGCTGCATTGACCTCTGCTCTGAGAGCTGGTGTTACTGTGTTGGCATAACAGAGCACTTAGATAGGTGGGAGACAAATTTAAGTGTAGAAACATGCATGATTAGGTCAACAGAAGGTGGCTTACGTCAACCTAACTTTGTAGTGTAGACCAGGCCTCAGACTTTGCTGAGTGGTGAGACTCCGACTTCATCCCTTGGGAAACTATTCCACAGCTTAATAGACCTCACTCTTATGAAATATTTCTCTCTCGCTTATTACTCCTAGTTATATCCGCTTGTACCACTCAGAACAATTCCTCTACAGCCTCAAGGTTTACACCCTTTGTATTGTGCAGATATTCTAAAGCTTTCCCTGTAATTCCTGGTGTACGGTTAGCAGTGTTCCCTCCAGTCTTGAATCATGCTCTGAATTCTTTCCAGGTCATGTTTTCCTAGTGCCCACCATTAAATGCAGGATCCTGAGTGTGTTGTAAAATTAAGCAAACAGCTTCTATGGTGAGAGGCAACTTGATTTTTGATGTTGTTTTCCCTTTAAATCTGACATGACTTTAGTATCACAAGGATGGTGTAAAGAGATCATTTTACCCTTGGTTGTGTCCCTTTGTCACTCAGGTCGGAAAGGAATTTCCCCCAGGCCATGTGGATAGGTCTTGGGTTGAGGGGATTTCATCTTCCTGTGGAAAATTGTTGGGGGGTTGTTCATTAGGAGCAACTGGGACACAGTTGACCCCAGATGTTGAATGAATACTCTCATGAACACTTATGTTTTTTCTACCTTATTTTTTTTTCTTGTAGCAGAGCAGTGACCTAAGACTTTTTGGAGGGCAGCACGCCTAGAGATACACGCCGCCCTTCATCACGCACACTCCTCCAGCACCATGTCAGGTAAGCAGAGGATGCCAGGCCTTGGAGCATATTTTCCTGCCTATGTCTGAGGGGAGGGCCAGCAACAATAAAGCTCTATTGAAAGAGCCTGTTTGTTCTTTTTCACACAAACTGCTGCTGGTAAGTTACTGTCTCAAGGAACCATTTCTCCTTCGAGTGATGGTCCCTATTGTATTCCATTGTGGGTTTATGCATGCGCCTGGAGTCAGAGAATCTGAAAGCAGTGTCCATTGGTGCGTGCATGCGCCCTGGCTAACCTCATGTCTCCGACCAACGGGATAAAAGGTGTGGCAGACCAACCACATCTCCTGTTCCTTCTTACTGCCACATGGTCTGGGTCAGAACCTCTCTGTGTTCATAGCTTTGGCGTTAGCTTACAAAATAAGATTTAGATCTAACATTGTTAATAGTTTTTAGCAGCTTATACAGTTTTATAATGTAGTGTTTTTATAGATGTTGGTGTTAGACTCTTTTCGAGGGGGGAACGTTCACCTCCCTGTAGCCCATATGGGTAGTGGACTACGCCCAAGACTCTGGGCTTCAAACTCTGCGCTTCCCACCTGCAATCCTTCTCAGTCAGCAGTGACCACCAGCACTGCCTGTACTGCCTTGGGGAAGCTCACGTTGCACTGAATTGCAGTGTCTGCGGGTCATTCCCCAATCATATCCAAGAAAGGTGGGAACTTTGTCTTTGGAAACACCTCATGGAGAAGACCAGGCGTCCTCAATCAAAATGAAGGTAAGGAACCCTCCCATACATCAGCCTTATTCACCAAGGAGTACGCCTCCTGCTGCAAAGTCCAAATCTGGTGGAAGCTTGTCAGGAATCAAAGAAACTCTCATCAGCATGAGAGTAAGTCTTCTTCTAAATCCACTTCAAAGAAGTCGGATTCGGCTCGGAGCAAGCCCATCAGCTTGGCCTAAGGGAACTTAGTATGTCCTGAGTTCCAGATGCACGAGAAGAAAGCCCACAAACATTGGGCTACATCAGTACTGGACCGCGATTGGTCAGTACCGTCATCCTGGGCACCTCCCAAGCCCCAGGATCTGCTGGCACTGACTAAGACTGATTATCACCAACTTCGCCTATCCATGGCACCATCTTCCTCAAAAGTAAAACAATCTCCTCTGGCTCCAGCAGCTTGGACAGATAGAGCCCCTTTTACACCGGGAGAACGGACTCCCTTACTGCTCCACCGGATGTTTTTGCTCTCCCAGATCCAGAATCTTGGGGCTCTGTTCACACATTTGTGAGATGTTACACCCTGGTGCAGGACTCCTCTGCTGATGCTTCCTTTGGGACGGCGATCCTTTACTCAGCTCTACTGTCTGCCTCCTCACACCTTTCTCCTACTTAAGTACTGCTTGTCAGTCACCTACAATGGAAAACAATAGGGACCATCACTCAAAGAAGGGGAGGTTACTTACCTGTAACTGGAAGTTCTTTGAGATGTGTGGTCCCTATCAGTATTCCACAACCTGTTCTCCTTCCCCTCTGCTTCGGATCTGATTTGCACTAGAGAAGAAACTGGACAGATGCTCAGTCTGCCCTATGCTTTCGACCCTCTGTCGGAAGCACAAGGTGAGCCATGGCGCATGCATGGACCAATGGACACTGCTTTCAAGTTCTCTGTCTCCGAGTGCATGGTGTGCATACGTAAACCCACAGTGGAATACAGATAGGGGCCGCACACCTCGAAGAACCTCCAGTTAGAGGTCAATATCCAGAGAAATTAATTTATTTTAACGTGCTGCTTTGGTTGGGAGACCAACTGTAAAAATGCCTCTTCCTTCCCCCCAAATGATCCTGCCCATGTTCAATTGGTATTAATCCAGTTCTCCCCACTATGCCACACGGAGCCCTGCAGAAGCTGCCCCAGCCATGGGACATAGAGGGAGAGAGGCTGGAATCTATTCTGCTTCATGCATCATCATCACCACTTTGCTCAGCTCTGTTCCTATCCGGGATCTTTCCCTCATGGTGGATTTGATGTTGTATGAAGCCAAAAAGAGGAAAAAGCTTTGTTCAGAGATGTGTAGTGGAAGTTCTCTCCCGCTTTGTTCCAACTACCAGCTGATCAGTCTGGGGTGGGAAGGAGGCTGCGGGGTGGTTCAGCCTTGGTCATCTGATCCTTTCAGTCCAAGCCTTAGTAAACTATGACCATGTCTACACTCCAGGCGTGACAGTGGCACATCTACACTGCTGTAGTGTAGGCTCTTTTCACAGCGACTGAAGGGTTTTTTGTTGGGGTAGGTAATCATAGACGATTAGGGTTGGAAGAGACCTCATGAGGTCATCTAGGTCCGACCCCCTGCTCAAAGCAGGACCAACACCAACTAAATCATCCCAGCCAGGGCTTTGTCAAGCTGGGTCTTAGAGGTTTTTAAGGATGGAGATTCCACCACCTCCCTAGGTAACCTTTTCCAGTGCTTCACCACCCTCCTAGTGAAATAGCTTTTCCTCTTATCCAACCTAGACCTCCCCCACTGCAACTTGAGACCATTGCTCCTTGTTCTGTCATCTGCCACCCCTGAGAACAGCCGAGCTCCATCCTCTTTGGAACCCCCCTTCAGGTAGTTGAAGGCTGCTATCAAATCCCCCCCCACTCTTCTCTTCTGCAGACTAAATAAGCCCAGTTCCCTCAGCCTCTTCTCATAAGTCATGTACCCCAGAGCCCTAATCATTTTTGTTGCCCTCTGCTGGACTCTCTCCAATTTGTCCACGTCCTTTTTGTAGGGGGGCCCCCAAAAGTGGACGCAATACTCCTGATGTGGCCTCATCAGTGCTGAATAGAGGGGAATAATCACTTCCCTCAATCTACTAATACAGCCCAATATGCTGTTAGCTTTCTTGGCAACAAAGGCACACTGTTGACTCATATCCAACTTTTTTGTCCACTGTAATCCCCAGGCCCTTTTCTGCAGAACTGCCGCTTAGCCAGTCAGTCCCCAGCCTGTAGCAGTGCATGGGATTCTCCCGTCCTAAGTGCAGGACTCTGCACTTGTCCTTCTTGAACCTCATCACATTTCTTTTGGTGCAATCCTCCAATTTGGTCATTCTGGACCCCATCTCTACCCTCCAGCGTATCTACCTCTCCCCCCCAGCTTAGTGCCATCTGCAAAAATCCACCTCTCCGAGCAGAAGTAGCTAGATCAACAAAAGAATTCTTCCACGGACCTAGCTGTGTCAGCACAGAACAGCACTCAGGGGTGTGCATTCTGAGCGCCATAGCTATGTTGACCTAACTTTTAGGTGTAGACCAGGCCTGTATCCAGCAGGGACAGTCTTAGATTCTCTCACCCCACATTCGCAGCCCTTACCCATCTCACTTTTCTTCTCCTCACAACAGTTCCTTCGGTGCCATCCATCCATGGGGGAGGTGCTGCTGGACGACTGCAGCAGTGCAAACCACTTGCCCAGAGCTGTGATGCTCCCGACTGAACAGAGCAGGGGGTTGAGTCTGATTAGTGAACTTGGCTCCTTTTTCTTTTAAATGAGCTATGGAATGGGACTAAATCTGACTTTAGGTTTTTTGTTTTTACTGTAACTGCAGTTTCAGCCACCGCTGTTTGAACTCCCACTACGAGCTCTGAGAGGAGGGTAGATTTATCCCAACCCCTCAGTTCTAGTGGAGCTGCCGCCTCTTGGAGGAGTCAGATTTGGGGGCTATGTAGATGTCATCAGCTCACAAGTTAAACTGGGTCTGGATGGCAAAGCTCCAGGAAATGCCAGGTGCAGTGGGAATTGGGACTGGTGACTCAGCAAGTGGTAGTCATTGCTCCATGAAGATTGAACGAATGCTCCGATGTGGCACATGGGGATGCTGTTTAGTTATGTTTCAGATGAGCCCTAAAATCACAATGAGACCTGATCATTTCACTTCCCTGAACGCTCTCTCCATTATCCCTAGGGTACCTGATTTTGCTCTTGTGCACCTTTACTTAGTCATTACAATTTCTGAAATGCTGGTATAAAAAGTTTGCTTCAAGTTCCATTCTAGAGGTGCTTCCTTTTAGTGGGAGTGACACTTACTATTTTGAGTTTCCGAGGGATGAAAGATGCTACAGAAACATAAGTTGATCCTGTTTGCTTCCTTGGGCATGGTAGCACAGTTACTAAGGTGATGAGAGCTGTATAAATACTTAGCTGCCATTGTAGCCACCTGACATCTCACTGAATTTGTTGGCTGTCAGTATTAGGTGTTAGTTAATATCTGCTAAGCTGCTCCTTGTTCTTAATTATTGTGTGTGTTGATCCCTTTGTGTTTAGGAAACCACACCCCCTCTTCTGGGGGCCCCTTCTCAGCTCTCACCCCCAGCATCTGGCCACAGGAGATCCTGGCAAAGTACACCCAGGTACAGTGGGGAGAGGGGACAGAACACAGTTTGTCTGCTTTTTTTCTCTTCATTGGTAGAGTAATAAATGTGAAGTGCTGCTGCTGGCTTACTGGACTCTTAATGCTGCAGGGAAGGTGCAGACTTTTTCTTTCCCCAAAAAACTGTTCTAAGCAATGAGCTGACATTTAAATTCTGTGTGTTTGCAGCTGCAAACAGCTGGGACTTGCTGTTAAACTAAGTTTTGGGTAGTGAGTGCCGCCTCTGCTGAACAGAGCCAAGGGGACACCCAGAGCCTGAAGAAACCTCTGTGGATCCTTTCCCTGCTCTTTTGCAACTCTGTGGCTGCATTTTACGATGCAGAGAAGGGTCTTTCTAACCATCCACCAGTCAGTCATGGGTTCCATAGCCCTGTGTGGGCTAACGCATTGTAGGAGAAATTACAACCCCCCGCCTCCCCCCCCCTCCCCCCCAGCGACATGCTCTGGTTTAAGGGATGAGTGTAGAGCTTTGTAACCTGCCAGTAATGTTTGTTAAAGGCAAGTGAGTCACAGAGCCTAGTGGGATGGGCCTCTGAGCCCGTTTCTCAGAGACTCGTGCAGTGAAAGAGTATGTATATCTGTGGGGCTACCTGTGTGCCTTGGGGAGAACACACATGGGGAGCTTTGTTAGGGGTGCACTGACTGATGCCAGTTTGTGCTGTGGGAGGATGCAAGAGTGGCAGTGTTAGGAGTGCACATGTGGGCAGTTGTTAGGAGTCGGGTGGGTTAGGCTTTGTCTACACATGGGATTATCCCTTTTTTTCAGCCACCAGCATAACTGCACCTGTGCCAATCCCTGGAGCAGGGGTTTCCAAACTGTGGTACGCATACCTCTGGTGGTACGCGCAATATCTCTGGGGGTACATGGGAGTAATTGTGTAATGGTGGATTTTATTTATTGCATTTTCAAAATAGGCTACTCAGCTGAAGCTTTAAAACTCTATGTGAATTTGTTATATAAAATACGGTAATTAATTTATTTCAAGATGTACCTATGAGAACACAGATCCCCAGAGACGCTGATGTACAGAGCCCTCACCTCCAATCACCGTACAGCATGGACTCACTTGCCCAGCAAGTGTCCAGTCTAACTGAGCTCAGAACTTAAGGGGTTTGTTTTTGGTTGTATACGTCGCACTATATCTGAATGTAACAGTGAAATATGGACAAATGGCTAAGGACAGGTAGTGTTAAGAAGAACTCACAAAGTATCAGTGATGAGAAGGGGAGGGGCATGCGGGCAGCTGGTAGATCTGGAAGCGGACACGCAATAAGAGAAGTTTGGGAACCTCTGCTCTAGAATAAGCAAGGAAAACTGGTGTTTGTGCTGTGGAGCTGAAAGAACCTCTGACTGAAACCAGGGCAGGCTCCACCAGCTTAGCCTGCCTACCCCAACTGTTTGCACTGGTGCAGTTGCATTGGTGGCTGGAATGTAGACGGGGTCTTGGCGGGGCAGTGCTAGGGGTGCACACACAGGATAATGAAGGACTAACCATGTCTTAGAGGACCACCCATGTGGGGGCTGTGTTAGGTGCATTCCCAGGAGTTCCCATACACGTAGGGATGATCTCAGAGTAGTGATCCAGATCCACTGCCCCTCCCAAGCAGATGGTGTGCCTCCTTTCCATAATGAGAAGCCAGGGGAGAGCGACATGGGTGGGGAATCAAGGCAGAAGCTACTGAAGAGAAGCCAAAGCCCTTTCCTCACTGTGTAGCGGGGCTAGACTAGCGTATTTTGCCTGTTGAACAGAGCAGTGTTCAGAAGGGGGATGAAGGTCTGAGTGTGCATCCCAGGAGCTGGGAGTGCTCCTCCCTTACTGGGGCCTAGGCAGTGTGACACAGCCTGGCACTCTAAGCAGGTGCCCCACCTAGTGGCCAAACGATGGAAATCAACGCTACCTCTACTTTCTACCTCTCACGCCCCCAGAAAGAAGAGTTGGTGGAGCAGCCGGAATCCCGGTACGATGAATTCGGCTTCCGTGTGGATAAGGAAGGTAAGGCTGCCCCCACCCGCTTTTTGGGCCCATTCTATCCCCAGGGTACCTCATGTGATAGGATCTCCCTTCCACTCTCTGTGATGTCTTCAGTTCCCAGCGCTATCCTGACTCCAGTTTTTTTAGGGATGTGCTTTAAAAGTGCTGGCCATCTTGGAAAGTGATATCTAAAATGCTGGAGCGCTGGCCCAGCACAGTCTGTGACCCCAGTGTAACTTTGCCATCATGAGGCGGGGAAGGCGTGTTTCACTGGTGCATTGTTGCTGCAGGAGGGGGAGGTACAGCTGTTATGATTCACTGAGCAATATGTGCTGCGGTAAATAGCACTGTAGCTTTTCAGCAGTGCAATGCAGAGCACCTACAGCAGATGCAGCGAAACTCAGTGACCTTTCAGACCTTCTATCAAAGCACCTGTGGTTCCCTTCCCAAGGTGGGCAACTGCGGTAGGCTATTCTGTCGCCCAGGTGAGGGGAAAGCCCCCACAGCTTGACCAAGGGTGCCTGAGATGGGGCAGAACCAACAACCTGCTTTAGCTGCACACCTTGCGGGAAGGGAGGACCAAACAGAAAGGGTTAAAATGGCTGGAGAACCCATGCAGCTGGGCATTAATTATGGGGGCCAGCTGCCGTGGCTAAAGAGGAGGAAAAGAAAAGGAGTGTCTGGCAATGGGAAGATTCCTGGTTGCCATATGAGGAGATGTCACATTGCATTGCTGTGCCCTGAAAAGGGGAAAACTGATTTGGACAAGATTAGCCCCCTGGAAAGGGCAGGAGGAGGCTGTGTTCTCTATGTCAGTGGTTCTCAACCTTTCCAGACTACTGTGCCCCTTTCAGGAGTCAGGTTTGTCTTGTGTACCCCGAGTTTCACCTCACTTAAAAATTACTTGTTTACAAAATCAGACATAAAAATACAAAAGTGTCACAGCCACACTAGTACTGACAAATTGCTGACTTTCTCATTTTTACCATATCATTATAAAATAAATCAACTGGAATATAAATATTGTACCTACATTTCAGTGTATAGTATATAGAGCACTATAAACAAGTCGTATGAAATTTTTGTTTGTACTGCCTTCACTGGTGCCTTTTATGTAGCCTGTTGTAAAATTAGGCAAATATCTAGATGAGTTGATGTACCCCCTGGAAGACCTCTGCGTACTCCCAGGGGTATGCGTATCCCTGCTCTATGTGCATGTGTGTGTGTGCACACTTGCGCTGAGTGCCACACTGAGCACTGGGAGGCACCCCAGGGACAGTGACACGGGTATAGGGGTGTGGCAAAGGGAGTGCCTGTTCCTCCAGAGCATATTATAGATTCATGGATATTAATGCCAGAGGGACCATTCTGGTCATCTAGTCTAACCTCCTGCATAACACAGGCCACAGAACCTCACCCCTGCAATTCCTGCATCAAGCTCATGTCCTATGGCTGAGCCAGAACATATATTTTAGAAAGCCAGTCTTGAGTGAAGAATGCCAATAACAGTGAATTCCCGACTTCCCTTATTAAGTTTCTTCAGTGGTTAATTTACCTCAGTTAAAATTTTGCACCTTATTTCTAGCCTGAACGTATCTAGCTTCAGCTTCCAGCCATTGGATCTCGCTGTGCCTTTGTCTATTAGATTAAAGAGCCTTATTAAATACAAAGTTACAAAACCCAGTGGGGCAGCTGCTGCCAGGCTCTCATTTAACTTCGATTACCCGCTGTTTGGCTGGCTCACGTTTTGAATAGGCACATATGAGTCCCAGCCTCCTATATCTTGGGGTTTCAGTGCGGTTTGCTTGTGACCACACAAGTGGTGCTTGGTGGCAAGCGCAGTTTGAACCCAGGCTGTCATTGCTGTGATGCAGGGCTCATGCATCTGAATCCCCAGCGCCGCCACCAGTGCAGAGGCTCAGGTATTTTTATCTGACTTTTTCAGATACAGAAGACAGATCTCTCCATTTCTGTCTGTCACTGGTCCCCACCTAGTCCCTTTCTTGTCTGTTTCCTTCCCACCTCTGCCTTCCCCTGTCTCCTGATGCAGATGGCACTGAGCCGAACTCCAGCAAGCTGCTGGGGATTCCGCTGACGGAGGAGCCACAGCAGAGGCTGAAGTGGCAGGCCCACCTGGAATTCACGCACAACCACGACGTGGGGGACCTCACCTGGGACAAAATCGAGGTCACGCTGCCGGGTTCGGACAAGCTGCGCTCACTGGTGCTGGCTGGCATCCCACACAGCATGAGGCCTCAGGTGAGACCCTGGGGCACAGTCATGAAGAAGGGAAGCAGGGAGTATGAAATGAGAGACCAGTTCCTGTTGCTTTCACTTCTTGGTTTGTTGTGGTTGCGTTTTGACCGCTCGTCACCCTTTCTTTTCATGTCCCCGATTCTCCAGCTGTGGATGCGTCTCTCTGGGGCCTTGCAGAAGAAGAGGAATTCGGAGATGTCCTACCGAGACATTGTGAAAAACAGCTCCAATGACGAAACTATCTCTGCCAAACAGGTCGGGAGCCTGCCTGATGCCAACGCTCCAGTGCCTGGGGTGGAAACATGGGTGATCTGTTGCACTGGGGGGATGAGGAATTTGCTTAATGCCTGCAGGGACAAATGAGGGGGAGGGGAGAGGTTGGACTATGCTACTCGTTAATTTTTCTCATCCTTTATTTATTATTATTCTCATCCTTTATTGGTTTGAGGGGCTCACTTCACCTTCCCAAGAGGGGAGGGGAAAAGATTTAGTCCGCACCCACACTGTCCTCAGGCTGTATTGGTTTCTGTGTACATGGGGCAGACAGTTCTGCTGTGAATATATGCATATGAATCATGCCTAGGTACAAACACTGACCAAGATACTAAGGAGTAGGGCCCTACTACTACAAATTCATAGCTATGAAAAACGCGTCAGGGACTGTGAAATCTGGTCTTTTTTGTGCTTTTACCTTTACTATACAGATTTCACAGGGGAGACCAGCATTTCTCAAATTGGGGGTTCTGACCCAAAAGGGAGTTGTAGGGGGTCACAACATTATTTTAGGGGGGTCGTGGTATTGTCACCCTTACTTCTGCGCTGCCTACAGAGCTGGGCAGCTGGAGAGCAGCGGCTGTAGGCTGGGCGTCCAGCTCTGAAGGCAGCGCCCTGCCCACAGTAGCGCAGATGTAAGGGTGGCAATACCATACCATGCCACCCTTCCTTCTGTGCTGCTGCCTTCAGAGCTGGGCGGTCAGAGGGTGGTGGCTGCTGACTGAGGGCCCAGCTCTGCAGGCAGCAGCGCAAAAGGAAGGGTGGCAATACCATACCCTGCCATCCTTAATTCTGTGCT